GGCAGCTTTGAAATGATTAATGTCATTTATGTTACTGTTTTTATTAATTGAATTCATGAATCTTGTCATATTATCATTGATGTTTGAGGATTCCATGAAAAAAGTTCAAGAATTAAGAATTAAATTAAATCTTTTATTTTAATTAATTACCTTGTTTCATATCTATATAGGGATAACATTGGGCCTAATTAAAGAGGCTATTAAGTCAACGGACACAAAAGCCTGCCTCAGTTCAAGTTGAGTTAGTTCGAGTGCACGTACATAGGTACTTTGTGTAGCCACAACTTAATAAATCTTCGAAAAAATCTAATTCAAATTTCTCCGAACCCTATTTGACTTAATTTAGAAGTTCAATGGAAGCAAAAGGAACAGAATGGTTAGGTTTTGTTTGAGATCTCTCTCTGAGGTAAATCCTTAATGGATAAGGATATGGTTGATATTGATACCAAACTCTTAAATAAAAAAAATAAAAAAAACAAACAAACAAACAGAGTAGAGTTAGCCAAAATAGTCGATAACAAATCATTACCCTTACAATAGCAAAACGCTACGGTTAGAGAAGTTAGAACTAAAGTCAAGGTCAGTCCCACCATGATCGAGGCGAGGTCAAAACCATAGCGCAATCGATTAATTTGTTGAGGAGCTCAAATTTGTGAAGAATAATCAAGAAAAAATAAGCAGTAGAAAGTCTTGGTCAATGCCGAGGTAGAAAGTTCATAATGAAAGGTTGATTTGCTAAAGCTTCGATATGAGTAGGGTCAAAAGCTTCAAAACGATGGAATTGGTAGATTTTCTTTTTATTGACGGGATTATGAAAGTTGAACTACTAGTGAAGTTCAAAGTTCCATCGTAAGAGGAACCTTGTAAAGCATCCCGACACATAGTCAATGGATGGAACTCCATAGAAAAGATAAATTGGGTGAGTCGAGAAGTGGGTCGAGTTTGTGGATTAAAGTCGGTAGGGTTAGGAATCCCTGAGTTCGTATCGGGCCAAATCAGACAAAAAAAAATATATATATATATATATATATATATATTATATATAAACTTAAAACTCTAATTTAGGATTAATTAAGATAATTATAAGGTTTTACTGACGCCGACGTGGAAGTTTTCGCCTTTCTTTTCACTCCACCTCCTCGCGAGTCAAAAAAACAGGTAGGTGTCTCTTTGCTTCAAAAAACAAAATTCCACCGTCGTCGCCGCCGATTTCTCTACCAAATCCCGGCACCTATTTTTCTGCGGATCCAAGCTTCAACACCTTCTTCTTCCTTCAACCCTAGATCTCCGTTTATTACAGAGAAAGATGGCGTACGTGGACCATGCGTTTTCGATAACAGACGAAGACATTATGATGGATTCTCCCTTCACCGTCAACAATCGGCCTCCTATCAAGGAGATCGCTCTTGCTGTTTCTCTTCTCTTTTTTGGAATGATTGGAATCATCGTTGGTATCTTCATGGCCAGTAATCGAGTCGGTGGTGATCGTGCTCACGGTACTTTTTTTTTTTTTTTTGTCTGCTTTGTGTTCTTCTAATTTTGCCCTAGTTCGAATGTTAATAAGTTTTGCTTTGTTCTTGATGATTTTCAGGGGTGTTCTTCTCGTTGTTGGGAGCTCTCTTGTTTATTCCGGGTTTCTATTACACGCGGATTGCTTACTATGCGTACAAGGGTTACAAGGGTTTCTCCTTCTCCAACATACCGCCTGTCTAAATCCTCCAAGTCCAACCACTTCTCTACACTTGTACATATTTTCTTCTCCAGATTTCTTCACTCTCTACGCTGTTCCCCCTCCCGCTTCTCCTTTGACTACAACCAACACTATCCGTTTACTATCGATGAAGTGTGAAGGATTGTATGTGAATTTGAGTTGTGCATTATCGACATAGTTATTCTTCTTCAAGCTTTACTTCCTAGTGGTCGTTCCTACAAGCGTTTCAATATACATGGTGAATTTCAGAGTATAATCGAGTCTTTTATCTATATAATCTTAAGTTTCATTACTTTCTTACTCTAGTTTGATTGTTGATTTGAACAAATTCGAGTCTATCATGTGAAAAAAAATAAAGATTTAAATTTATCTAGCCAGATTCAAGTCTCTCCAGGACTTACCCAGCTTTGGAAATATTAAAGAGGTTCCACTTTCTAAATGCACTTCAATTTTATTCATGTTTTTTTATCAGTTTGATATCTATCTTCTGGAAATTAGTTGCTACTTTTACATTGACATACAGAATGCTGTCCGTTTGTCGCTGCCCATTGCTTGTCCCCTTATTGGTTGATGAATGAGATTGGCATTAGATTTATTGTGTTTAGTTTCTTGGTCTTTGAGATCCTTTGTGGAGTAATATGCAGGTTACTAGAAGTCTATTTTTTTTGTGAAAGGACTTGTTGATATGAAAAGAATATGAAGACAATGGGATTTAGAAGCCCAAGTTGTGTCCTTGGGAAATATTCTCATTCTTCAGTTACTGGCATTTCCCCCCTTTAAACTAGACGTTTCTAGATCGTTTGTGTTCCATTATTTTCTTATTTGTACTGATTTGTACAAGACTGAAATACTAAGGAAATTTAGCTATACTATTGGATGACCTTGAGGTGAGCTGAGATGAATTGGGACAAACAACCTCAGTCTAATAAAATCGTGGACGAAAGCATTGGAAGTTAGTTCGATTATACAAACATCTTATTTTCCATCCTGATGTTCTTGATGGTTAGAAACCCCTGGGTCGGGTGGATCTTTGGGCTTTCTCTTGAATTTACTTGAGCATGTTGGTGCTAAAAGAGCCAGCATGGAGGATGCAGTTGCAGTTAGGTGTCGTCATAGATTGAGAACATAAACCATAATCATTTTCCTTTCCCTCTTATTTGAGTTTTTGCTTATCTTTTCCGAAAAGATTGATCAAATCTGAATAATGCCTCCTTTGTAGGACAGGACAAACACAAACTCACTCAGGATATGGCTAGAAATCACCGTTGTTCTTGTTTGGCGAAATCACCCATCCACGACTCTCCATGCAGCAGGCCTACATGATGGTTGGTTTAGCTATTCTCCTGGATATACAGTTTTCCTAGTACAAGAATAATGGTTTAGTGCTTTATTTTGAAGTCTATAGCCTTCAAAATTGCTGATGTGCTTTGTTGTTTGAAGAAAAATAGCCTGTCTATAGCCTTATAAAGTTCTCCTTGATGGCTTTAGCTTGTAGGATCTTTTCATCTTTAGAATCAATTTTTAGGGATTTCTGATGGTGGAGCTTCTAATGCGATCTTCCCCCTCCCTTCTTAGCCTCATTGCTCACATTTGATGTAGGCACTTGTCACACCTTCATTATTGCATTATTTATTTCAAGGAGTAGAGGATGTAGACCATATACGGTTGCATTGTGCTGTTCAATTAACTAGGCCATCGATGAACCTTGATGATGATAGTGAGAATGAAGCATATCCTTTTTCTATCATTCCACATGGTCGATATCGAGTGTTTCCTGATCAAGTCTCCTTTCGAGTGTCGGAGATACCCATTCTTTAGCCTCTGTGTTCTCTTAATCCTTTAGTAAGCTATCTGCTAGATCAATGTAAGGAGCTTCGTAAAGAATCTGTACCAAAAGTATTGGGAGTTAAGTATCTGCTAGAATTAATTACACACTTTAATGGGTTAGTTTTGTGGCATTGTCAATCAAATTTATTATCGTAGTTGTTTCAATAATATGCCTGCCCCCATGTTTAGATGCATCTGGAAGGTGGTTGGAGGAGTTAAGTATCTCATTGGGGGGGGGGNGGGGGGGGGTTGGTCTTTCCTAAACCATTGAATGCAGTACAAATTTGATGCACCGAGGCATTTGGACTGGAAAAGGGTTCTCATTGAAATATAAATGGAGTCATTTTGAATTCTGTCTTTTAATTTTCATGCAAGAATCCCATTTTCAGTCAAGTTTTGAAACCACTGTTATTGAGGCCATGAATCCAGGGGCTGGGACACTCTGTTCACCATGCAGGTAGTCCATACCAGTATTAGGAAGTGCAACTGGGTTGGGATGGGTCGGGTCGTTTTTCTTCTTCTTATTATTATGTGAACTGACCCGATCTGGGTCAGTTTTCACATTCATAAACCCGAACAGGTTTGGTTCGTTTGTTTTTTAATATATCCATACATGAATGTACGATGCTAAGTTGATACAAAATTGAACCACCCCTACCTGTTGGATCTGTTTTACTTCTTTTTTCAATGTGATAGTTTACCCAATATAAATTAAATAAATTTGGAAGTTTTACAGTAACATTATTTATTATCTTGATCAATTTCTTCAGGTCATTCAATTTCTTCTCTCAATATTATCGAGAGATGTATCGAGAATCTTGAATCGAGTAAATTTAATCTCACCAATTTAGTATATCAAAATGTATGTCGACATAAGCATCGGTTAGATACCGAGCCACCTTTGTTTTGCAATCATCTAGATCTTTTTTCTTGCTTAGTCTAATCCTATTCCACTTGAAACATTAAAGGAGACGGATGATATTTTCATTTGATTTTGACAGTTTGATAGAACACAATCCACGTTCTAACAATGTTTTAACTATAAGAGAATTAAAAAAACACACACACAAAAATTTAGACAAGATCTTTACAACAATTTTTAATCTGAACTCCAACATAAAACCTGTTTAATTTATTGATCTAAAGGATTTGAAGTTAGATTTTTGATGGATTTAAAGATACATAAAACCTGTTTAATTTTTGAAGTTAGATTTAAACCTTTTATTAAAAAAAAATGATGGATTTAAATAATTGACAATACCAAAATCATTAGTTAACAAAAATTAAGGGACTAATTTGAAAATCAAACTAAAATTATCTAACAAATATAAGAAGAAAAAAAAGTGAGATTTTTACAATATTCTATTTTCTTAGTTAAATTATAAATTATAATATAAAAAGTTTTTAAAAAAAGAGAGAATTTTAGGATATTATCTTTAAATTTGTACTGAAACTAAGCTGCGCGCGAGAAGGCGTTTGTATATAAGGACCAGACACTCTGTGCTGAAGGAATTCCCAATTCATTCAATCACAGGGTGCGTCAATGGAGGCGCCGAGGAAGCTTTGTAGCCCATAGCCATATCTCTTCTTCCAAAACCTAACGAAAGAGACGATCCAAATCCCAATCCAACTTCAATGTCATCACCACTCTCTATCTCTTCTTCTCGCCGCCGTTTCCATCCCTCCAGAGTAACCCATCTCTTTCTATGCGTTTACCTGCCCTTGGATTTAACTCTTTCGTTGGTTCTTGATTTTGACTGTCTTTGTTTTCCCATTTCAGGCGCACAGGCATCGCTTCTCGTTCGATCATATCGCTCTGTATGAATGAACTGATTGCTTCGAATGATGCGGTTGTGAGAGATTTGATCGCGACCTTTGCGTATTCGAAGAGAAGAGTTGCGTTGGCTGCTTGTAATGCTGTTATGGATTTGTCCACCGCGTTGTTTGGGCGGCGGAGGTTGGTAGAGGTCTCTCCCATTGGGTGTCTTATGTAAGTATTTATACATGTCGACTCTAATTCTGGATTTCCTTTTTAGTTTGTCTCATATGGTGAAATCGGTTTAACTATGAACTTAATTATGTTCTTGATTTTGCTTTTGTACTCTGTATCTTTGCATTTCCAAACGAAAAGGATATGACTGAAAGAACTTTGTGATTAATACGACATACAATTCGGTGGTGTGATGGTTTGTGCAGCGAATGATAGTTGAATCAATCTAACATCTATACAAGCTCAGGGTATTTTCTTGGATATCTGGACTTAATATCTACTAGATCTGCGTTTATGCAGGCTTAAAGTTAAGTTATGCAAGAAAATGTGAAGAAATTTTTAAACAAGGTTATACAATTGATCTGTGTGGCATGGAATTTCTGTATAAGAAGATTTTTGCTACTGCAAATGCTATAGCATCTCTGTTTGGTCAACCATCTGTAGGTACTGATATGCACTTGACACCTCCAGGTTCTCTGGGTTTGGCTAGTCAATATGGTGATCATTGTGTGTTTGTATTGCCGTCAGATATTGTCCGTTTTGGTTCGTTCGCCGTCAGCCGATGTGGGATCTATCCACCTCCTTAGGGGCCGGCGTTAAAAGGTATGATATTTTTGGGGCTTATATGTAGAACGTAAAAGTCTGGACTGTTACTAGCATGAAGTTTTGAAAGGTTAAACAATTAAAGGTTATTATACGGATTTCAATCTAGGGAGCAAGTCATGTGCTGTGACCAACATGCTTTTAGTAAAGTATGGAACCTTGTGGTGTTTCCATGGGACACAAGCAGCTTTTTGGACCCAATGCTTCTAATTGTTATTTGTGTTCAAATGCCCATAATGCATGTTGGATTCTCCTTTTTTTGTCCTCCTAAAATTGGACTTCGAATTTGTGGACCCCTGGGAGTTAATCAGACAGCTATTTGTGTTCATACAAGTGTATTATAGTGAGAACCTTCATATGATCATTTAATTATGTACGACGATGATTCTTAACCAAGAAAGTAATATATGATCACAATCGTTTTACGTTTGAGCTTTTTTATGATTTCGTGTTCATGTCAAAGCTAATTCTCGTCATAGATCACTTGTAAAAGCCTAAAATTAGTTGTAATTATTGCATTGCTAGTTCCAGGGTGCGCAAAGATCTATGGTAGTTGAGTTCACATTTAAGTGCTTATTGTGATCAAAGCACATGACATTTGATAGATTGTATATATAATTGTAACATAATTGTTACATGAATAAAAGAGAGCATTTGATAGATTATACAGAAAAATGTGTCTGTAGTGCAGTACATGTATAAGTAGCTCATGTCATCTTGAAAGTTGATACATAGCCTATGGCTATGGATGATCGGGCGGATTCGGATGCGTTTTCGGCCCATTATAGTCAATATGGTAGACAAGTTCATCGGCACCGTCGATACTTTTTTCATATTCATGTGTGTTGGAGGAAATTTCTTGTTTATGATCCTGCATTTTGGAATATCCATATGTTAGGGTGGCGGAATCCATTCCAAAAGCCAAAATCAAAGAAGTTAGTATTAATTTAGCATACCTTGACTCTGTGATATTCATGTTCTGGGTTGGAAAATGATGTATCAAGGTACTTCCTTGCAGGTCTTCCTTCAGAGGCGAAAGTCTGAGGATGAGAATGAAAGGGATCCACAGAAAGAAGATAGAAGAGGGCAGTAAAGAGCAGGAAACATTGAATAAAATGTGAGTATCTCATTTCTTGACTTTGTCTGCCAAAATAAAGATGAGGTTATCTTGGGATGGAAAGAGATGGGTTTGCAGCAATATATATAGGCCAGGCTTATGATTTTGTTGCTAATTCAGAATGAAACAGACACAATACCAACCAAGAATCCAGACAACTGCCTCTGTCTTCAACCCATTTACCTTTTTTTCAGCCGACTTAACTGGTTGAAATTTCACGTGTTCGTTCCATGCCAAACAGAACCTCTCATGGCATGGCCAGATTGTTCATCGCTGTTTTTACTCTTTGGCTCTCTCTCTCTCTCCCCCCTATCTTTATCCTGTCAGTTACATGGTAATAGATGCTCGATGCCATTTTAGGAAAATAAAATCCTGCATTTTCTTTCCTGGTTTTAAAAAAATGAAAAAAAGCCCATCTTTTCGCTGTCTCTAGATCTATTCTTACTCGAGTGATAAGTTTGGATTTTGGATGATGGGTGTAACGGCCCAAAGCCGGTATCAGATATTGCTTTGTTTTAAGGCTTGGCTTCCCCTCCCCTCCCCTCCCCTCCCCTCCCCTCCCCTCCCTCAAGGTTTTAGAGGTTTTAAAACGCTTTTAAAATGCATCTGTTAGGAAACATCTCGCTAGGGAGAGGTTTACACACACACTATAAACAATGCTCTGTTCTCTCTCTAACTGATGTGAGCTCTCACAATCCATCCTCCTTTGGGGTCAGTGTCACAATCGTCTTTTCTTGGCAGCGGATTTGGCGATTGTGCGACACTCACTCTCAACACGGTATATTCAAGCCTCGGATCCCGATTTAAAAAGCAAGTTTTAGAGAAAGAGGGAGAGATTTTGGAAAAGAGTTTTGAAAGCAAGAATGAGAGAGAGATTAAGAGTGGTGTTGTATTGCATGCAAACAAAAAGGCAACAACAACTGCATATGCAGTATATAACTTTTCGGGTAAGGAGAATTTGACAACTAGTCATATCCCAGGCATTTCATGTCTACCAAGCATAGCCATGATTTCGCCAAAACGTCATACTCTTAAAGAAAACAAGAAGGAAATAATACCACATGAAAGAAGTAAAAGAAAGTGGTAAAGTAGTATAAAGCAAGGGTTTCGGCATGTAACGGACATGCGGCCATAGACAACACGCGTTGGACAAGCATGGCCGAGACACCCAGCATCCTCACTGGCACTCGTTTCCCTTCCAATCGATGTGGTACCCCCCAATCCACCCCCTTTCAGGGCCCAGCGTCCTCGCTAGCACATCACCTGGTGTCCACTCCCTTTGGGATTCAGTCTCCTTGTTGGTACATCGCTTCTAACTTTGATACCATTTGTAACAGCTCAATCCCACCGCAAGCAAATATTGTCTATTTGGGCTTTTCCTTATGAGCTTCCCTTTAAAGTTTTAAAATGCGTATGCAGGTTTCCGCACCCTTATAAATAATGTTTCGTTCCCCTATTCAATTAATTTGTCATTTTCCGGAGTAAGAATTATCGGTCATTTTCAACTTATACCCAATTTTTTGGTCCAAACTTTTCGAATTTTGTTGGGATATGTGTAAAGGTTGTGAATTTGTGAAGCCATGGAGAATTTTGGTGCAGGAGGTAGGCATTGTGGTGTGGTGTGGTGTGTATGCAATAAATATACGGAACTGAAAGAGGTGTGCATTTTACAGCTTTTGAGCATGATTGATTCTTGCATGATTAACATCATCACCAATGGCTACACTGGAGATTCCATGTGACATTGATTTGAAAGGGAAGTGGTAATGTGAATTAATCAGCTGATATATAAGTGTCATCAACCCAGGCTTCATGACATGACTTCCCTTTTGTTTTCTTCCTATGAATGTGAACACCTCAGATCTAGAAATTTGAACTTTCATCATTTTCTGATAGTGATAGTGTAGTTTCTTACTCCAATGACAAGACTTATCTGATAACAAATGGATGTCCACAGTTTCTGGAAAGATTGGTGTTCTTTATTCCGTTTAATGATATACAAATGATGTAATGAGAATATAACAGGCAAGACCCACCACTAATAGATATTGTCTTCTTTTGACTTTTTCTTTCGAGCTTCCCCTTAAAGTTTTTAAAACGTGGTTGCCAGAGAAAAGTTTCCACATCCTGTAAACAATGCTTCATTCTCCTTCAAATCGATGTGGGATCTCACAATCTACCCCTCTTCGGGGCCTAGCTTCTTCACTCGCACTCGTTTCTTTCTCTAACCGATGTGAGATCTCACAATCCACCCCCCTTTAGAGCCCAGCGTCTTCGCAGGCACTCATTCCCTTCTCTAATCGATGTGGGACTCTCCAATCTACCTTCTTCTCTTGGTTGGCACACCATCTCTTGTTCACCCCCTTCAGGGTTCAGTCTCCTTGCTGGCACATCGTCTGGGGGTCTAGCTCTGATACCATTTGTAGCAGCTCAAACTTACGGCTAGCAGACATTTATCTTCTTTGGGCTTTCTTTTTCGGACTAACCCTCAAGGTTTTTTAAAACGCTTCTATTAGTGGGAAGTTTTCACACCCTTATAAATTATGTTTCATTCTTCTCTCCAACCGATGTGAGATCTCATAAAGAATGAATTATATAATTGTCAATTTGGGTTTAGCTTAAGGAGCTAAACCGTATACTCTCGATCAAGAGATCAAATGATCTTACTTTAGCCTGCATTAGGTTTCTATTAAATAATTCATTAAAAATGATGAAAAAAAAACTGAAATAATTTTATTTTAATTCAAAAGCTGTGGACTAAAATAGATGTTTGAGAGTAAAGTATGGGAATAAGAATAGGATTCAAACCCCAAGAAAAATTAAGCAAATGACATTCTTAAGCTCTACAGATTGTAAAAATAAAAAATTAAAAAAAAGGGTGAATTTAAATTTATTCAACAATAAGATTTGATCGATCAACAAGTATATCACAGTAAAAATCCATGTTTTTAACCTTCAAATGTAAAAAGCTAGTGGTCAAAAAATTCCTTCAAGAGTGAAAAAAAAAAAAAAAAAAACTGACCTTTAATTTTTTATTTATTTTATGTTTAATAATTGGAAGTAAAAATAATTTTTTAATTTTTTTGTTCGATGACTCTTTAATTTTTTTTATTTTGTCTTATAGAAAATTTAGGTTAAAGTTCCATCCGACATAAAACTTGATTTTATATCTAATAATTAGTTATTAATTTAAAAAAAAAATTAAATATATTAAACATTTTTATATCTTACCCATTAAACATAAATTTAAAAGATGAGGTGTGACCCCTTTAAAATATAAAAATAGAATAGAATTATATAAAGTTTAAATATAATTATATAAAAGTTTAGTTGAAAATAAACCTAAAAAAGTAACAAATATTATCAAATCTCAACCCATAATATTCTGATTTAAAATTTGACCAAGCAAATTTTATAGATTTAATCTTATCCCTTAATTTTATTTTAATGAACACTATACCCATAATTTATTAATTACCTACAAAAATACATGGTAAATACTTCTAATATTGTCAAAAATAAAATAAATCCCTCTAATAATATTGATGCCTTAAACAAAATTTATGAAGCTCTTATTCATTTACTATTTATTGTTTATTTTTTAGAGTATAATTAGGGAATATTTATTTATTAGTTAAAAGTAATTATTCCCTTTTAGCTTTTTTATTTTCAGAATTGTTCTATTTTAGGTATTTTATTTTTAAATTTTTTTTAATTTATATAGTATTGTGATTAAAACGAATAATTAAGGTCTAAAAATCATAGTCATCATAAAAAATAGAAATCTTTTTAGGGGTTAATTTCAGGATTTTTTTTTTTTTTTTTTTTGGGAAGAATATGTTTTGATTAGTTAAAGTTATGCTTATATTAGTTATTATTTGCCGTGCTTTCAATTTTACGAACTTTATATCGGATATTCTATTTTTATAATTTGACATTGTGATTAGATCGAATAATTAGGGTCCAAAAATCATAGTCGAAGAACAATACATCAAATCTTTCAATTTTTATACCATTTTCGTACGTTATAATATTTTTTACATTATTACTTTCAGACCTTTTCTGTTGCAGATCTTAATACATTTCTTTTTCATTTTTTTTAAATTAACTTCGAATATTTAATATTTTAAATACAATAAACGATAATAATACGATGGAATAAAGAATATTTTCAGATATAACTTTTTTTTTAAAAAAAAAAAACATTCAATATTATATTTTAAACAACTTTCCTTTTTAAGTAACTTTGCGACATTTCGAGAATATATAAATATTTTATATCGATATTATAATCTCGAACAAATATTAAATATTAGTATAAGATAAATTATTATGAATTTTATTGATTTATGGGTTCTCTTAATTCAATCAACTTGAATTTATTAATTTTAAAATATATATATATATATATATATATATATATATATATATATATATATATATATATATATATATATATATATATATATTTTCAATCATATATACATATATTTTTTTTATTTAATAAAATTTTAAATTATTTATTCTCTAAACACTCTTTAAAATAATTTTTACTATTGGAAAGGGAATTTTTTAAAATATATATTAAAATTAAGTTGCAAAATTTAATTAAATGATTTGAACACACTTGAACTAATCAAACTAAAAAAAATTTATGGTTGAGTTAGGTTCATTATTTAATAAAAATTGTTTGGGTTGAAAATTTTATGACCCGAACAATTGGGTTGAGTCTAAAAAATGTCTTGATCCGACGGGATCGAACCCAATTCATGAATACCCCTAATTAAACTCTAACCAAATATTTCTCGGAATGAGATCATATTTTGACTTCTTTTTTCTTAGTTCTTGACTATAATTTAATATGAGTTCGAATCGAGACTATTTTGATGATTATATAATTATATAATTATATTTTACCTATTTTTTTTTTTTAAAGGTTGATTTTGTATTTTCCTTTCAGATTTATATATGCATTTTAGCAAAGGAAGCATTATAATGATTGGAAAAAGAAAATTTTAAAATATAAATATATAAATATATTAAAAATAAATAAATAATAATGGGGAAAAAATGGGTTAAAAAGTTATAATTGAAAGTCAGTTTCAAAGGAAGAAAAAAAATTATTTTACTTAAAAAATAATAATAATAATTAAATAAATAAAACTCATAAATTTGGCAGTTTTTTTTTTCAAACTCAATAATGTGAAAACGCTTACAAATCAATTGGAGAAACTCCTTTTAATGTAAACTATTTTGTTTATAATTTTCTAAATTATTTAAATTTTATTTTTAAAAATTAAATGAAGTAAATAATAATAATAAAAAAAATTTCGTTATTGATACTTAACTTAAACTACACTTAATTAGTAATTAATTTATTCATCATTTTGATTTTACAATTATTACGAATCTTTAAAAAAAATTAAAAAAAAATCCTTTTATTCAACTTTTAACACCCTTTTAAAAGGTGTAACCTCCAAAATTTCAAAAACTAAATTATATATATTTTTAAATTTATTATTCTTAACTTTTAAAACGTTTTTAAAAAACAGATTATAAAATGCAATAAAATAAATAAATAAACAAAACTTTATACATAAAGAGAGAAAAAAAAAATCCATGGTTCCAAAAAAGATGCTTCGAAAATGCAAAATCACTATTACTTCCCTTAAATAAATACCCTTTCAAATATCTAATAATTTAGTCTCTAAATTTTAGTATATAATAATTTATACTTTTGAAATTATTATTTAATATTTAAATTTTAAAATATAAATGAAAAGATATCTAAATTAATTGATGCGGAGTAACTCTAAAATTATAATTTTGTGTCCCGTGGATTCGTAAAAAAGTTTAAATTTTTGACGTGGGACGTAAAAATAAAAAATAAAAAATTGGATATATATATATATATATATATATGTTATTAAAGGAAGTCAAAGAAGGATATGAGTGGAGAAATGCATTTAAGGAAGATTTGGGTTTGGTCTTAGGGGTCAGAGTTGTAACGCATGCCTTTACTCTTTCAAAAATTCTTATTCTCTCATTCCCTAAATTCTCTCTCTTCTATTTATTTTCTCTCTCTAAAAATTAAAAAAAAAAAAAAACTCCTTCATAAACCCAATAATAATTAAAACCCCTACGAGATCATCATAACTGATATTCAACTCGAAACCTCTTTCCTTCAAACCCTCTCTTAATACCCTCTCCCTCTCATCCCTCTCTTTCTCTCTCTACATCCGCCATGGGAGACCAAGACGACCTCTGCAACATCAGGCTCGGCCTTAGCCTCGGCTCTGGATTTGGGGAATACGTCCCCAAAAAGATGCAGAAAATCAACAGTAATCATAACAACCCTAAATCCTGCACTGACCTCTCCTTCACCCTGGTTCCGAAGCAAGAATTGGCCATTAATTCTTCAACCACAACCAACAGCCTCGGCTCCGAACGTGAAAGAGAGAGAAAAAAGCTTCGGCTTTCTAAAGAACAAGCCACTTTGCTCGAAGAAAGCTTCAAACTTCACACCACTTTGAATCCTGTAAGCTTTTTTTTTTTTTCATACCCATTTCACCATTTTCCATAATTTTCAATTTTCAAAAATACCCATTTCATCATTTTTCATAATTTTCATTTTTCAAAAATACCCATTTCACCATTTTGCATAATTTTCATTTTTTTCAAATACCCATTTCACCATTTTCCAAAATTTTCATTTTTCAAAAATACCCATTTCATCATTTTGCATAATTTTCATTTATTTCAAATACCCATCTCGTTTTTGTGTCAAAAATTTGATTTTTATTGTTTTTGCATGGATTTGTAGGCTCAGAAACAGGCACTTGCCCACCAATTAAACCTCAAAACACGACAAGTGGAAGTCTGGTTCCAAAACAGACGTGCAAGGTAATAATAATAATAAGAAGAAGAATAAGAATAAGAATAAAAAAAAACATTAATTTCTTCAAAAATAAATAAATAACTCTGTTTGAATTTTAAAAAAAAATAGGACGAAATTGAAGCAAACGGAAGTGGACTGCGAGTTCTTGAAGAAATGCTGCGAGAGGCTGAACGAAGAGAATCGGAGGTTGAAGAAAGAGTTGCATGAATTAAGATCCATCAAACTCGGAGCTTCCCAGTTGTATATTCAGCTCCCCAAGGCGGCGACGCTCACAATTTGCCCCTCATGCGACAAGATCACCAGGACACCCGCCGCCAACGCCGCCGCCGAGCCCAACTCTCCGCCACTATAATTTAATGTCATTTTTTGTAGTACAGGAAAAGGGATCAATAATTTAAGCTCAATAACTTTACAGCCTTTTTAGATTATTATATGAATCATTTCTATTTTTTTTTTAATTAATTAAGAACTAGAAGGAATTTAAATAGGAATTAATTAAGCATAATTCCTATAATTTTATAGGGTTTAAGACATAATAAAAAAACAAAAATGAGTGGGGTCTAATTTGTCTTTTCACCCCTACTTCTCATTTAATTTTACCATGGTTGAATAATTCAACTTTCATAATTTACACAATTTGGACCATAATTTTTATTTTCTTGGCTTATATTTTTCATGGAAATTACCATTTTGGGCCATAATTTCTCTTTTCTTGTGGTCTCAAATAATTTTGACAATGGGAACTTTAAAATCAAAGTTGGACTTTTGTTGAATATTAAATAATAATAATAAATTAAATAAATAATTTTTTTTTGCATATAAATTGGGAATGATGGAGTTTCGTTTTGGGTTGGTAGAGTAAAAGGGTTTTGAATTTTAAGAACCTAATCTTTGACCAAATATCATGTCAACAAATTATGTGTTTATATTTCTTGTAATCATCGCCAATCACCTCTCTCAATATTATAAATATAATATTATCCAACAAAATCATATAAATAAATAAATATATTACGTGAGATCCCACGTTCGTTACAGAGAAGAACGAAATATTTCTTGTAAGAATGTAAAAACTTCTACTTAGAAGACGCGTTTTAAAACTTAGACAATAACTCTCGAGATTTTTTTTTAGTGTCATTTTGTGGATGTGAAAAGATCGGTTCATGGCCGGATGAATTCTATAAGTTACATCCTTGTGGTTATCGAAACTTTGATCTCTTACATGTCCAAGTTCGGTTGGATAAGACGAGACAATTTAATCTAAAAGGATTTTTCCATAATCACACCACTCGAACAATAATGTGGTGTTAAATATATTATTATTGTAATAATAATAATTATTATTATTATTTTAATCTATAATTAAAACAAATACATTTACATCAATTATAATGTTTATTGTTAAGCTTACGTATTTAATTATAAAGATTAATTATGTAAATCAAATGTCCACGATTAACTTATTAGAAATCTAATGTTAAATTTTTAAAATTGTTACAAATTCAACGCTCTAATAAAAATTTTCTCGAAAAAAATTATTTAATGGTCAATTTCACTCGAGCTTATTTTATTAAAATGAATGAGTTTATAATTTTTTTTTTTTTGTGTTAAAACTAATAGGGAAATTGGCATAAAAATTGTAGCACGTAATTTGATGAAATAATTATAAAAAATTAATTAAAACTTAACCTTTAAGATTAAAGCTATCTGATAATTAATTAATATAACATAAGTGAATTAGATGTATAAAATTATATGCAAATAAACAAAATTATGTGACTCATTTATTTTTGTTGGAATTTTCAAAGAATTTATTGAGCAAATAATAGGAGGGCATAATATAAAAGAAGCAAAGTCCAGGAAAAATAATAATAATAAGAAAATTATTTCATTAATCATAATTAATTTATTAATTACCAAAAGCAAATGAATTATGATGAAAATATATTAAACAAATAATGAAATTTAATAATGGAAGTCACCAAATTAAATAAAATTAGGCTCTTTATCTCTCTCTCTCTCTAAATATTTAATATTAGTTGATAAAAATATAGAACTCATCATTTGCATAATATATTTCTTGGGAGGTCCTTATTCACTCTGACTTTTCACAACTAATCCTCTCTTTTGACTATAATTACATCAAAATTGTTTGGGATGGAATTTAAATATAGAAAGTCTAAGAAGAGTACGAGTTAATAGTCACGAAACGGCTGACCCACCAAAACGGACTAGCTCTATTTTTGTGCGATCTCTAAAGGAGTCAGCCAAGAGATCTAGAAGACTGACTCGTTGAAAGGTTAGTATAGACTTCATGAATCCTTTAATGGGTCATCTTAGTTTGCTTGATCAAGTCCCCTAGGGTTCATCGAGCCTTCAACCAATGTTTTGAGAGTTGACCGAGAGACTCTTGATGAACCTTGAAATAAACCAACCTTAAAAGTAAGGAGGGTCAAGTGTTGGCTAATGATCAACGTTCTCGAAAGGACGTTTTTTAATTTTAATTCAAAAAAAGTGAATTAGAATTTGTTGTAGATTGAATCATAGGATTAAATATAAAGTTGTGGGAATTATTTAGCTTACTCTATTTGTATAGAGATAATTAAAAAATAATAATAATAAAAGACTTTTTGGGTTTTAGGGACACTTTTTTCTTTCATTTTAAATGATTGCCTCCACACAAAAAATTAAATTGACTTTTCTTCATTTATTACCTTCAAACTTATTTTGAAATATTGTTAAAAAAAAAAAAAAAAAAATCTTTCTTTTTTCATGCCCAAAATTTGATTCAACCAAAAGTAATTTTCTTCTATTTCTTTATATAAAAAAATTAAAAAATTAGGCTTACTTTTGGTGCTGTTCAAGTGGAAAAGTTCTCGGGATACAAAATTCAAAACAAAATACAAAAAAAACCTCAAAATTTATCGATGGGCTAATGCCCTGAGACGACCCCTGTTATAACTATACAACTCTCGAAAGCTATCTACCTCGACTGACAGCCAACGAATATCTAAAAGATGAATGAAAAAGATATAAACAACTTACATGTAAAGCTTTCATCGCTAGTAACAAGTTTTCATGGGATTTACTAATTAACGACACACGAACAATATTAAATAAAATGATATAATTTAATTTAATTTAAACATTTTTTTTAATATTCTACCCATAGCCTTATAGATCAATTTGTCTCTCAAGGCTGAGTAAAGCAACATTAAAAAAAAAAATGGTTATGAAGATTAGAGCAGCCCTACCTCATTTATTTCTCTAACTCAAACCCTAACCCTCTCAACTTGAGGGCTTATAGGAAATTAATCATTCTTGCAGCTCAGCTAAGTTTTATTAATTAATAATTGCCTTTCTGTGCAAAGTCATTAAAGTGTTACTAGTTTTGGGATAAATTAATTGAGGAGGCATACTAACTAAGAGCTTTTTCAACCTCTCTAATCTCTTTAACTCTTCTTTCCTTTTTCTTCCACCCTTTTTAATGGTCACAAAATTGTCAATATTGCCACCAAATACTTAAGCTTAAGTTAGTACAACGACATGTTACACATTCCGTTCGTTAAAACTTAGAGCATCTAAACAAAAAGATGATTTATTTACTTCATTCCTATGAACATGATAAGAACAGCAAGATATTATAGCTATCTTTGGATTGGATGAATTATTCGAAGAGGATTGCTTAACCGTAGTACGAGTGTTTCTTATCACAACTTTTTTTTCGTAGTAGAAGGTGTGAGATCCCACATCGATTGGATTGGAGAACGAGTGTCAGTGAGGATGCTAGGCCTCTAAAGGGGGTAGATTGTGAGATTCCATATCAGTTGGAGGAGGGAACGAAACATTCTTTATAAGAGTGTGGAAACCTTTCTCTAGCAAACGGATTTTTAAATCTTTGAGGGGAAGCTCGAAAGTAAAGGTCCAAAAAAGATAATATCGATTAGTAGTAGCCTTGAACCATTACATACGAGTTCTCGGGTGAGTACTTAGTCTAAGGTGGTGTCACCTTTTAAAAAGTTGGAAGGAGTGGTGTTTGGCTTTCGTAGGAGAGGGATTGTTAGGCGTTACTCAGCCACTTATGATGGTTTATACTTGGTGGGTAGCAAATTGTGTGGTGGTGGAGGTGTCTCTACATTCAAGTCAAGCCTGTTCTTAGTTGACATGCATCTAAAAGTGCCTGAGTTGGAGCCTCAATACGTTTCCATCAGTGATTGGACCGACCACGGCATAATGTTGGGGACTTCTCTTACGATATCTTATGACACACAATTTCAAGTTTTATAAGCATTCAAAAGCCCTTACCAACAGAAAAACAACCCTCTTTAATTCAATGCCATAAAAAAGTTCTGAGATTTTCATCATTCAGGCCAGGCCAAACGGACGGCAACACTAACAAACAACTCACACTATGAATGCAAAGCCAAGCAAACATAAAAAAGATTAAAGTTTTTGTTCATTAACTCCATGAACGTCTCCCCCAAGCTTTCCCTCTGCTATTTCTCTACCCTTTTCTCTGAATGTCAGCTTTTAATGGCACATGGCCCTTTGGAAGCACGAGGAGGTCCTGAACATACAAAGCTTCCTCCATAACTCACTGGTTATTGAGAGGAATTGATATTTTTTTTGTTTGTTTTGGTTGTGGTCTATATATATATATATGAGAACAGAATGTTGTGTTTTGGGCTTTTGTTACAGTTCCCAATTACAAATCCTTGTCTTGTTTAAATTTATTTATGATATTTCATCCAATGGCCATTAATGAGGGTTGGTGAAGAGGTTTTTTTTGGATCAGAGAGCGATTTTGATGCATAAAAAAGAGTCTTTTACTGTTTATGTTTCTTCCAATTGGTACCATTACTTAATGTTCTTCACACTCTATTACTAACTCCTTATCTTCTTCCCTTCTCTCTCTCTCTCTTTCTCTCTCACTTTGCCAATTCCTTTTGCCTTTTCTCTTCCTCTCTCCCTCCTTCACAGGTCACTTTTCAAGTGTAAATTCTTCATTCTGTTGTTTTTTCAAGTATATATATATTCTCATCCTCACCTTTCTCATGGTTTCTAAATCATAAAGTTCTTAACTAATTGGCGCAATGAGGCTAGCTCAGTCCAGCATTTTGGTGCTTTCGCTATCGGTTTTTGTCTGCATCGGCTCGGTCGTCGGAGCTCGGAAGATGTTGTTCTTGGCTCAAGACAGTACCAGAGACAACAACAGCTTGACGATTGCCATGGAGAGTAGCAGAAGGTGCAAGTCAAAGAAGCTGTATTGTTGTGAGTGCTTCTTCTCAAGCTCTGAGAAGATGATCAATAATGCTACCAGTAGTTCTGAGGAGAAAAGGGTTGTTCCTACTGGCCCTAACCCACTTCACAATAAGTAGAAGAAACTAAGATCATATTATTATTGTATGTCTTAAGCTTTGTTTTGCCTTGAGTTTGTTCTAATTTCTTTTGTTGATATAGCCTAACTTTTATGTCAGTGAAATCAAAAGCTCTTCAAACTCAACCCCATTAGATGTTTTCTTGTCCCCATTTGTTTCAAGTCAAAAAGGCTCAAACTTTACAAGGAAAGAGTAAAGAGTTTAAACCCATTAGAGATGATATTATCACACACACAACTGTAATCACTTGAATGGAATGGGTGAAAGCAACCCAACAAGATGCATGAAATTTGATTGAGGTTTCCAATTCAAGGTGATGGCAACAAGGTAAATAGAGAGATGGAAGCTTTAAGGAGAAAGAAAATATGAAGAGAGAGAGAGAGAGAGAGAGGAAAATGAAATCCCACCAATATGATACGCACATCCCAGATTTGGGAAAGGGCATTGAATTGAAATGGGTCAGAAAGGCAAACGAAAAATTAGGAATTCTACTTGGTGAACAGAAAGGGAATTGAATATTGGGCTGTTCTTCGTTTTTTTTTTTTTTTTTTTTTTTTGTAGCAGCAGCTGACAAACAACTATGGACAGTGTGCATTCAATTTTCCAAACTACTTTCCAATAAAAACTTTCTTTTCCCATTTACTCTCTGTTTCTCTCTCTACATTTCAAGCTCTTTTTTTATCCATTATATTATAAGTTCAGAAGTAGTTGAATTTCCAAGTTTAAAGTTGATCGATCTTGTGAACTTCAGAAAATATTTTAACGTTTGATCATCTAAATGCCACAAAACTAAAAGGCCATGAATCAGATAGACACAAAACTTGAAGAAAAATGAGTAATTTACCTTGATTTTTCTCTCGTCCTGTGATGGGTTTGAGCTTCTCCTACGCGGGCGCTGATTCAAAAAGCCCAATTTTCAACTCTCAAGATCCTAAGAGGAAAAAAGACAAACAGGTAGTGAACAAGACAACTTTGGTTTTGGTGAACAGAACATGAGAGAGAAAGAGAAAGAGAATGATTTGGTTGTGTTTTTTTGGGTAATTAATTGGGATTGACGTTCTAATAAAAAAACGTATGATTAAGAAAAGGAGTGTAACTCACGGTTCAATTCCTCTTTAACAATCTTGGATTTGACATTCATGTTGACTTTCTTTTTCCAAACATCAAAACGATTGGTCAAAGCCTTTGGAATTCTGTATTTTGACCCAATCTCGTCTGTGTTTTCGGTCAATGCATTGGCATTGACACTACCACCACCGCCAGGTCTCTGTCCCACCTCTGTTTTTCTTCTCTTTCTCTTACTTAAATTGAAGATATATTTTGACTCCTAACAAAAATGAAATAATAATATACTCCAATAGATTTGAGTCTCCTCTATTCTTATAATATAAAACGAAATCTCTAGAACAAGCATAAAAACAAGAAAGAAAGACAAAGAACAAAGCCGTACCGTGAACACATTTCTTGTTGTTTTCAATTAGCTGTTGTTGACAGCAAACTCCATCAGTGTCTGGATGGATATCACAACAAGATCTAACTAGCATAAACAATAAACAACACCACAGACAAACTATATTGTTTCTCTTTCGGACTTCCCTTCACGGTTTTTAAAGCGCGTCTATTAGGGAGAGGTTTCCACACCCTTGTAAAGAATGATTCGTTCTCCTCCCCAACCGATGTGAGATCTCACACAAACGTCCCTATCCATTTTTACGATATCAGCTAAAAAAAATTGTGAAAATGAAGTTTGGATATTTCTATCAGAGGGCCAACTGCCAGTAGGAACAAATGAGAATTTGTAAGATCCGAGGGAATTATACACACTTCACCACTTGTTTACCTCTTTCGTCAGAAACTATGCTGGTTTTGTGTCATCATCTGTTCAGCTGAAGCATTTTCAGCACACTTCAGAGATCAGCTTTGCTGCTTCAAACCCAAAAGACAAAGACAATAAAACAGATAACACAAGAAAGCAAAGACAATAAAACAGAGAAAGGGAAACCTGAATTTAATATTTGGTTGCAAACTTCTTCATTTACGTTTTGCAGGCCAACTGAGGGATGCCTCGCCGAATACTAGAAGGTAATTTACAAGCTCCACACTGATTCTGACAGTAGTTCATACCAGATATGGAACTGAACTTTAACTTTGGCCTTTGTTTTGGCAACAAATTTAAAGTTGTAGGTGCTTTCACTCTTTCTAGTAATTTCATAGGAATTCAATTTTCATATTGAAACCAACAAAATTTACATGCTGTTGTTCCAGGAACCTCTGAAGGTCAGATGAAGAGCTCTTCATCTCTGCTACATTCTCCAGTTTTCTTCTTTTTCCTGGGGATGCTAGTTGTGCTGGTGATCTTGTTGATTCTCATATTGATTTTTAGGAAATTGCTCAAACCGAATACAGTGGTGAAGCTATTAAGACCAACAGGAACAACTCAAGGTAACAGAGTTAATTGTTAGATCTGAAGAAACTAGTAATGTTTATAAAACTGCAAAAAAGTAAGTGCTTTCACCTCACGTTGCAGCATCGGCAGATTTGTTAAGCGAAAATCTCCACTCAATAAGTTACTTTGACTTTCACACACTGAAAAAGGCAACAAAGAATTTTGATCCGGCAAATCTTCTAGGCCTGGGAGGATTTGGACCCGTCTATCTGGTATGAGTTTCATTCACTAGAATAATTGATGCATATGAATTCTTTCCTGTTACATTTGCACCATCATGTGAAAAGGGTCTATATTGGGTAAGTGCATAAAAATGATTGGAACCTCATGCCAAAATTTATGATATAATTTGGGCAAAAGATCAACCTAACACTCCCTCTTGTTGAAGTATTCTATTCCGTAGAAACTTAGCTTAGGACTAAATGGGAACCTACCCTTATAGGGAACGCTAGAAGATGGAAGATTGGTAGCAATTAAGAAACTTTCACTAAACAAATCCCAACAAGGAGAACCAGAGTTTCTATCAGAGGTCAGACTGATAACAAGCATCCAACACAAGAACCTGGTTCGCCTGCTCGGTTGTTGCTCAGATGGGCCTCAACGGCTACTCGTGTATGAATACATGGAGAACAAGAGTTTGGATCTCATAATATATGGTAGTACTAGTAGTCCTTCTCAATCTGATGTGATCTTCCCTGCCCTTTACCTTACAAGACAATAACGTTGTATATCACAATTGGTACAAAACAGGGGTAAGCGATCAATTCCTCAACTGGAATACCAGATTGAAGATTATCAGAGGCATTGCCAAAGGGTTGCAGTATCTACATGAGGATTCCCATCTAAGAATTATTCACCGAGACATCAAAGCAAGCAACATTCTTCTTGATGACAGATTTCAGCCAAAGATTGGAGATTTTGGGTTGGCCAGATTCTTCCCAGATGACCAAGCTTACCTAAGCACTACATTTGCTGGAACTCTGTAAGCTTTTCGTCTAATTTCATTTACTGTCAGGCACATCTTATAAATTAAAGCTTTATCACATGCCCTTCATTTGTTCAGAGGCTACACAGCACCAGAATATGCAATTAGGGGAGAACTGTCAGAAAAGGCAGATGTATACAGTTTTGGAGTTCTTGTACTTGAAATCATCAGTGGCAGAAAAAACACAAATCTTTCTCTACCAACAGAAATGCAGTATCTTCCAGAATATGTACGTATAAAATCCCACAACTATGATCCAGTATTTATCAATTTCTAAGGTATTCAGATATGACTATTTAACCATACTAATATACAGGCATGGAAACTATATGAGAGGTCTGCACTAATCGAGCTTGTGGATCCAAAGATGAAGGATGATGGATATGTGGAGAAGAATGTAGTACATGTAATTCAGGTTGCTTTGTTATGCCTTCAGCCTCATGGCGACCTGAGACCTGCAATGTCTGAGATTGTTGCCATGTTAACATACAAATTTGAAATCATTCAAACACCTTTGAAACCAGCCTTCTTGGAAAGAAGGCCTAAAAGGAACAGAGATCTCTCGTTGACTAATCATGCAGATACCATTCCTTCTCCATTACAGTGAAGGCAACGCCAATGCCTACTTTGTCATGGAAAAGAAACTGGCTCTTTGACTACCTAGCCATTGCATTTTTTTTAAACATTGCAGGAGAATTAAATTAATTATCATATAGTTTTAACGTGGTCTTCATTCTTTATGTCAACAGGACATTGGTGTCTCAATTTTCACAGAACAATTATAGTAAGTTAAATAGAGATTATTCTCACCAAAGAGATTAATGTAATTTCACTTTGTTTCTGCTAATCTGCATTGTTTACATGTCATCGAAGTGTAGTAACAAAATGCTTACTACATCGACTTACATTCCATCTTGAGAAAGTGCATTATTCTAAATTTTTTTCATATCTGAACAACTTAAGCTTTTGAGTTTAAAGACAATTTGACATGATAATATCATAGTAGAAGTTCCAAACTCTAATTCTTGTAGTATTATCTCCCACCATCAATTAGAACTAAATGAATACCTAAACCCACTCACCCGAAGAAATAACGGGATATATTAACAAGTTCAAATCTACCCGAGGCCTAGCCTAATATGTCAAAGCTTTTGGGTATTCATTAAGAACTATAACTTCCATGAAACATTATCTTGTACATGTTTCATCATGAATAAATACAAGCCAAAATCTCATATTATGCATTGCTACCTTCATGGTTTCCTCTTCCAAGATTGAGAAAAATGAAGATCGCTTAGGACAAAAGAATATCTCCTTCTAAGAAACTCTTACCTTGTGGTTGTGACTGACATTGGTCATTGTTCCCCTTAAGAAACTTTGAGCTTTCACAAGTTGGAGAAATTTACTTCCAAATTAGATCAGCGTATTCTGAATGATCAACAAACGGATTTCTATTGTGCTGATAAAACTTGCATATTCTTTCATTTCTCAACTTCTCTTCTCTTGACGGCGGATCACTCTTATTCCACTTTAACAATGTGGAAATTAAGCCCATCTCCTTATTTCCTACAGAAGATGGATGAATCTTTTAAAATATGAACAACCATTTTTATGTAAATTAAGAAGAAAAAAAAATACAAATTTTTGTTCCTGGATTATTATAGTTTCAGGCCCCATCCCACTGATCCACAGAAGCGAAAACACAGCAATCCTGAATGACAACATCATATTTTATTAAGCTTTCCATGCACTACCTTAAACCCAGGACTATCACTTAATATAACTTGAAATCCTAGCACTACAAAAAGAATTTCCCTCTCTTCAAACACTGCTCTGCTTATCGTAATTTCCAACATTAAAAGACGGTGAAAAGAAAAAGTTATTAAACTACTGCATGAGGCTAAAGAATATCTGTGTAAATGCACCAATGCATTTTTTTAAATGTATATAAATGATTGCATTGGACGGCTATTACTGCATTTTTTTTACTTGAAACTTACCCTTGTCTGGAGAATCAGAAAGGTGGAACCCATAACAGACTGCCATATACATTACTGCCCGTGCTATATCTCCTCTAACCTGCCAGTGAAAACCATTGCAGATAAGAAAATCATGATATATAAGAAAAAATATGATTCTAGTAATTACTGCCTTCAATATTTAACCATTGCAATGTTTCTGACTTTGAATCCGTAATCGTTTTTCCTGTGGAAGAAAGAATCTTAAGTTCAAGATTGCCAAAAGTTTAACAAAATTCTTACGCGCTTAGGTGGTGCCCATTTTTCCTTGTCTGTTTCGGTATCATAAGCAGCTTCCTTGTAGGCTGGCTTCATACATTCTGGGGAGTTAACTTGGCATTCTCCAAAATATTTGTTCCCCCGGGAGGAATTCACTGCACAAATTTCAATTAGTTACTAATATCAAACTACTTTCATCAACTTGTCGCTAGAATGGAAAATTCTCAAGTTACCATTTGCATCTGCTGGATGGATATTCTGCAAATCGGTCAGGGATGGACCTCTTCTGAGCCCATAAGAGCGAGGCCACAAATGCTCCCCTGAAATAACACTTCATATATGAGTGCTGCTATTAGTTTGTTTTGCTATACCACATACTGAATGTTCTATCTCTTACAATAAAGTATGTAATGGTCATACAAATCTTTTACGAAAATTCCCATGAAAGCTATTTAAACTGAAACCTTTAGAGCCTGAGGTCAAAAACTAGTTTGCTCAAGAACTTACTGTTCCAACCCTCAGGCTTCCCTGCTAGCGACTTTGACACAATCCTTTGCGAGTAAATCTCCACTCTGTGGTAAAAGTTGACAATAAATATTCTGGTAGAATTCACTAACTATGTAGAATACTAAGGTGCAATTAACTAACATGCCCGCTTCACGAAAATCGGAAAAAGTTGCATTCCCATGAAATAATTAGATTTGTATGAATGGAAATTACAAACCAAATAAAATTGAGCATTACATTTCTGATGAGGCTTCTGGTTTGTCCACATCAGCAGCATCAAGAATCTTGATGGCATCCCAGACCTGTTCACTACATCATCTTAGCGGCAATAGATGCGTAGTTGACGTATTAAACGAGCTAGAAGAAGCAGTCAATCTATAGCTAAAAGTTCATAATAAAAACTAGAAGGTACCTCTTTATAGGACAGGGAATGATGTGCAGCAATGATTGAATTTAGCTTACGTTTAAGAGGTTCACCTGTTAACTGTGCTACATTAGCATAATACTCGTTAACATCTTCACAAGGATATCTAACAGAAGGAGATGGATAATCGTGGGCTTGTGCAACTAAGCTAAGAAAGAACAAGTAATAGGAGGTGATTTGAGTAGCCCATCTCCAAGAAATGTCTAAGCAATTCGACAACATAGAACTCCATGAGTCCCTAAATTGAAAGCCATTATCAGTCACTGATAACAACGATTTACATAATGCTTCTACATCAGTTTCTATACACAAAGGTAAAGTTCACAATCAATTCAACATTTGATGGAAAATACATAAAAAGAGGGAGAGAACAAGAGAGATATAAAGCGAAATAACTTGCACAGTGGTACTAACCAGTGAAAGAGGGCGGAGACGGAGCAGCGAACTCGCATAAACGGGAGCTTATTGAGGCTATGGTGTGGCTTCGAATGAAATTCAATGCGAAGCTTCGTAGATTTGGTCTGTGGAACCGAAGGAAATTTCGATTTCGATATCGATATCGATTTCAACTGAAAGCGGCTGGGTGTAGAAGACGACTCCAGATTGCAGGGTCTCTGAGTCTCGATTCCGGATACCAATTTTCTCAGGGATAAGCTATCGATCGTCATAGCGCGTAACATTTCTTACGCTCCCGAAATCTGAAACAGAGAAGTAACGATTAACGACTCTCAACCATTGGAACTCTTTTTGTTTAATTTATCCTTTCTCTTACTCTCTTAAACTCCATTGGAGCCATTTCATTGTTCATAAAATAGGCTTAATTAAATCTAAAAATATATATATTCGTTCTTATTTCTTGTTCTCAAAATAAATGGTAACTCAATTTGGAGAATTAAATTTAAATCAAAGGAATCTGTTGTTCATATGATCGAGTGGAATCATGCCAAATGGTCTCCTCTATTCGAGAAATTCAAGATCGAGCAGAGGCATGGAGCCAAACTCTCGTTTGAATTTTTATAGATTGATTATCGGGTGTTATCGTGTTAAAGAATGAAATGTTCGATCGACTCTCGGTCTATGAAAAAAAAAGGTTATCATATCATATCACATAGAACATTGGAAGAGCACATCATAGAGCCAAACATGAAACGTGGGACAACATGGTATGTAACAAAATGAAAATAAAAATAAAAATTATAGGTTCGTTATTCCTACACTATTTTTCCCTACCCACAAAAAAGAAAAAAATCTATTTTTTTTTTAATTTTAACATATATAAAAAGAAAAAACTAAGAATCCCCTTCTCATCCCCGTTAATTCTATTGCCCTCCATGTCCCTTTCAAGATCCGCTTTTCCCTCTCCCCCTCCGCTGTTTTCCCCTTTTGGCCGATCCTCTCTCCGCCGCCAGCACCCCCGTCCGCCGGTACATTTCGACGGTGATGGGTTGGTGGAGTGGAGAAAATTGGAATGGGTTGGTTACTCTGTTTTTTTACCCTTTTTTTTGGGGGGGGGGGGGGGGGGNGGGGGGGGGGGGGGAGGGAGGGAGGGAGGGTTTGCTCTGTTCTAGAAGCTGGTTGGGTCCGTGATTTCTGAATCTGACACCGTTATTTATTACACGTCTGCCATCATCAACCCGGTCCCTTTTCCGGCATGCTTCCCCATGATCCCCATCCGTCGCTGTCTCTTTAATTCCGGTGGTAATGAAGCTACCGAGAACCTGCGGCTGTCAGATATTATCATTTCTGACCGTAGATACAGCAAATCCGACGCATGTACATCGCTCCATCTCTGCTGCCCCTGTACCACCACCGGCGCCCTCGGCGACACTATGATCCGGTGCTCGAATCTGCTCTGATTCTGATTAGTTTTCTCGTCCGGCAAAAGTAGCCCGTCCTTCCGGTGCCGATCGAAGCACCCGATGGCCACCGTTTCGCTGCTCTTGCTGTCGAGGGATCGTCTCAACAATGCCGGATCTCGGCGACTGGATTCACCGGTTCGCTTCTCACCCACCGATGAGTGTCTGCCGGAGACTCTCCCGGATCCAGCCTTACCACTTTTTCTCCCCTGTTCTAAGTTCAATACTACATCCTTGGAGTTTGAATCCCGCGGCGGAGGCAGCGGAGGCGGTGCCGGCGCCGGGTTGTAGAGAAATATATTGACGTCTTCGATTAATAAGACGTCCTCCGGGTCGACTCGGTAACGGCAGAGAGGGCAAGTAGAGTGGGCATCAAGCCAAGTATCGACACACTCGACATGGAACGCGTGTTTGCATTTCGGAAGGAGTCTAAGAATCTCCGTTTGCTCGAATTTGTCGAGGCAAACGGCGCATTCAAGGCCTTCCTTTTGACCGCTCAACGACCCAAATCGAAAAATCGGCAGCGATTCAATTACCGCCTGGTCAATGCCGGAGTTCTTCCTCGTCGTGAAGCTCGGAGCACCTATCACCGAATTGGGATATCTCGAGTACCCAACCACCACCGCATTCCCACGCTTGCAGTGCTTAGCGTAGAGAAGAAGAAGGAACGTGATAGAGAAAGTGGTAGTGAGAACGCCGACAACCACCGCCATGCTAGGCCGGAACGGAGAGTAGACGGGTTTGTCTTCCGGTGGAGGAGGAGAGGGCAACGGCGGCGGTGGGGGAGATGGAGAAGCATCAAAGACAGTTTCCTGTATGGCCTTGAAGCGATACAAAATTGGGTGAGGAAGCAAAAGGTTTAGTGAAGGATCGCCGGGGAGGGCGGCGGCGGCTGGAGAGACGACGGTGAAGAGGAAAATCAGAGAGAATAAGAAGGAATCGGGAAGGGTGCCCATGTCTGAATCAAACAGAGGAATGAGTTAGAAGGAGAAAGGGGTGGAGGGGAGCAAATAGGAATTTTCAATTTTAATTATTGTCTTTTGTTTTATGTTTAGACTAAAATAATAATAATAATAATAATAGTTTTCTGGGGGAGAGGAAGAAAGATTCGGATTTGGGCATGGATGTGATTTTGGAGAGATCATGCAAAAACAAAGCAAACAAGCCAAACAAACCCAAAAAGCTGTCTACATTATTATTTTCTAATTAATTAATTAATATTAACTATTTCTCAAATATTTATAATTATTAATAATAATAATAATAATAATAAAAAGTGAAGATCGAACAAACACTGTAGACAGAGCAGGGATGGTGACGTGGCAGAAGTAAATGTGGGTCCGGTGGGTAACTGAGCACGTGACTGATGTTGGGGGTCTGCGTGCAACAGAGCAGACCATTGGATCGGTCCCCCGTGGCCTGCGCCCCTGTTGGTTCAGTTTGCCTACGCCCCACTCTCAAGCCCACAAACTTAGCCTCTCACTCTGTCTTTTTCTTCCTACAATTTTCACACTCTCAAACTTCATGCATCTAATAGTTTACCAGAGAAGTTCCATGTTCATTATATTATTCGACTTCTAGGAGAGTTTGCAAACGTAGGACACAATATGAAGGGCTGTTTCAAGAGCTGAGTTCGAGAAACTTGAGGGCCATTGGGTGCTTGGCTTCCGAGAGCTTGTCGGGTGGGAGGATTTCGACGATGTCGCCATCTACTAGCAGGCAGACTACGTCTGCAATTCGCTGGATTTGTTTGATGCTATGGGAAACCATTATGATTGTTAATCCCCATTTCGTCTTCAGCTTCATCAACACGTCCTCGATGTTCTCAGTCGAGATCGGATCCAATGCACTCGTTGGCTCGTCTAGCAGCAATACCTTCAGCAGAGTAGACATGCACATGATCAACAATACTAACATAACGCAGAAGTTGGATTCATTGCTAAACTACACAGCCATAAACAACCAAACACAAATGCCATTCAAATTCCTTGATGGGGGAAGGAGAGAATTCATCTCCATACCATCTCGATCCTGACCACATAATCTACCGCTCAACTATCTAAATTTCGTATCGAATTACCTATAATTCGTCCATGTTTTCTCAATATCACTAGCAAAATCTAAGAGAAGACATGCTGTTATGTGATTCAGTGAATGCAAGTAAGTATATATACCTCAGGTGCATTCGCTAAGGTCCGAGCGAGCGCGACTCGTTGAGCCTGCCCAACGGATAGTTCAGAACCAATCTGGCTAAAGAACGAGGAGTCGAGGTCCGCTAGATTGAGTAACTTAAGAACTTCATCATCACTAAGCTTTTTTCCCCTCAACTGTGGACCATATCTGATATTATCAGCAACAGTGCCTGAAGGACGGTATATAAAATGGATTAACAAAGCATATTTGCAGCAGCCAAGTTTTTGACGGTAATAGTCTTGCATAGGCTTCTCAGAAAAGTAAAACCACTTTGAATTCTTTCTCATATGACCCGACATATGTTTGAAGAATTTAAAAAGTAATGCATCATTGTTCTTCATGATTTAGACTTCTTCAAAGTCAACTTCTCACAACTAATTTCAAACTAGTTTACTTTCGCCTGCAATTTTCTAGGAATTTCCCAAAATTTCCAATGGCACAAAGGAAACCCTAGATGTGAAGAAACAAGAGAAATCGAGAAATCGGCGCACCTTCAAATAGAGCAGGAATTTGGAAGAGCATCCCGACTTTCCGGCGAAGGCCGAGAACGTCGAGATCGACGATATCGTGGCCATCCAGAAACACCGTCTCCGCTGGCGGCTCCCACAGCCGATTGAGAGCCCTAAGCATTGTGGATTTGCCGCTGCCGCTCGGGCCAATAATTCCGACGATCTTCCCCCTAAGTATATCCACACTGATACCTCTCAGAATCGGATTCTCCTTTCCGTCCGAAAACTTCGTCAAATTACGTATCCGAATCTTCACATGATCATCCACTCCTCCGTTATCGGTTTCCTCGTTCACCACTAGTAGGTGTTCTCGAAGCCGATCGCCTACAAATCCACACCAAATTCCCCATCACCGGCAAGATTCAAAAAAAACAAAATTACTAGACGAAGTGAATCAAAAGTTGAAGAACTTACGGATACCGTCAGAGTCGTCGGCCGGGTTAAGAGTATCTGGAATCATTCTGCTCGAATCAAATGAAGGATTTGAGGCGAAAAGGAGGAAGGGTGGGTTGAAAATTGGGAAAGCTTGGTGTCGGTCAATAATGGCGTGGAATCAGAAGAAGATGGAACTGAATAAAGCCGATCCCAGTTGAAAATTGAAATGAATTGAGAGTGGCTTAGAACAAGGACGTGTGTTTTGTTTTGAAATTGTCCGATGGAATAATGTCATTCTTTTATAGACAAATAAGCATATTTTGATAATGATGGTCACTATGGATTTTAATTCCCTTTAATTGGTTAAATATTATTGTAGTCCATTTATTTTGTCCCTTCTAAAAATGTTGTTTTTTATTCTCAATTATTTTTATTAAATTATTAAATTCGATATTATTCTAATAGAGAGGAAAACGAAGCATTACTTGTAAAGGGGTAGGAACTCTCGCGTTTTAAAATTGTGAGGCTGATATGTAATGGGTCAAAACAAACAATATCTGCTAGCGATGGACTTGAACGGTTACAAATGGTATCAGAGTCAGGATGTTGGGCCCCGAAGAGGTGGATTGTGAGATATCACAGTCAGTGAGAGAGAGAAACAAAACATTTTTTATAAGAGCCAAGATGTTGGGCCTCAGGAGGTGGATTGTGAGATCTCACCGTCAGTTAGAGAAGGGACAAAAACATTTTTTACAAGAGCCAAGATGTTGGCCCCGAGGAGGTGGATTGTGAGATCTCAGAGTCAGTTAGAGATGGGAACAAAACATTTTTTTATAAAGTCAGGATGTTGGGCCCTGAGGAGGTGGATGGTGAGATCTCACAGTTAGTTGAAGAGGGGAACAAAACATTTTTTATAAGAGCGAAGATAATAGCCCCGAGAAGGTGGATTGTGAGATCCCACACAGTCAGTTGGAGAAGGAAACAAAACATTTTTACAAGGGTCGAGTTTTAAAAATGTGAGGCTGACGGCAATTCGTAACGAGTTATAATCATAAATACTAAATTTTATTAGGACATAACAAAATCAATACGGGATTAATTTTCAATACACAAAACAAGCAACCATAAGAATTCAAATGTTAACTAAAATCAAACATTGTTGGGCGAAGAATTAAAAATGCTAGGGCTTGTGAAGAACTCTGCCTGCAAGAAGGGCAGCTTCCATGACAAAGGAGATGACCTCCACCACTTCACTAATTTCGCATTTGTTCCCTTTGAAAGGAGCCGATTTTGATCTCTTGAACTTCTCCATGCAGTTCAAGAAGCTCTTGCTGCACTCTTCGCTTAAATAGTCATCTGCCAAATAATCCAAATAATTATTTATTTTCACACACACATATATATATAAACAATTTAATATGAAAATTACAGCCTGGAAATTACCTGTTTTCTTTTAATAAATAAAATTTCATTTATTTAATTATAAAGTAAGCTATCTATGGACCGTCACAGCCACCTTACATGTGAGGTTCATTGGTTCACTCAAATAAATAGACAATTTTAGCCTTCCCATCAAACCACCTAACTTTTAAATTATTGATTCCACAAATTAACAAACATTATTAATAATTTATAAATCAATTTCTTACCCTTCAATCATCATATCCTTAAAAACAAATCCATTCCTAATAATTACATAATTTAACGCCCACCCGAGTCCTCTTTCTTCTCACTCCCGTTACGAGAATAAAATAACATCCCAGTTCAATTCACCAAGACTCCTTACAACTCGAACCAGGTTGGTCAAGCAATTAAGGGTTCTCATAGATCGAACCGTCTAAATTTTTTGACTATATATTTCCGCTTGTAAATGTTAGAAACCACGAATCTTTTTATCGTAAGATATTGTCCACTTTGAACCTAAGCTATTATGATTTTGATTTGTGCGGCTGGAAATAATATATTTCTTATTTATAAACTCAAAAACTGGAAATAATATATTTCTTATTTATAAACATGGAAAAAGGAAGGGACACTCACTGTTCTTGGCAGCAACACAGGCATCATGATTCATGCAACAAGCATCCAGGCCATCGCAGGGGCGTTCGCCGGGGCAGCCGCTATACAACAGCCCACAATATTTGCCATATCTCAAAAGTGGAGGCACTGCAAATTCCAAACTTTTAGACAACGCTCAAAGACAAGACCCATAAACAAACACAAACCCATAAAGAGAGCCAGAGGTTAATTAGAAGAACCTGAACAGAACTCCGACTCGCATTTTCTGCTGCAATCTTTGCTCTACAAACCAGACCAAACAGATCAAATCAAGCCAAAGAAGAAGCTAAAGAAGAAGAAGAAGAAGGAGACGAACCAGAGTGATTGAGGCATCGAGGGCCTGGACGCCGACGTTGAGGGCGTGAGTGGGCGCAGAAACAATGGCGAGACAAAGAAGAAGAAAGGAGTTGAAGGGGTGAAATCGAGCCATTTCTCTTGGGTGGGTGGGTCTCGATTTTCTCAGAAAAGCTTTGAATTTTGGTTAAAAGTTGAAAAGAAAAAGGTGGGATTTATAAGTGAGAGAGGAAAATGGGTTGTCTTGTAGTGCCTCGTGACATGGTGTTTTGGAAACGTTTGCCAATTTGATTGAACCAGAAATGGTGGTGTGGGTTATCTGGCGTTGGTGGCTCTCCCTCTCCCCTCGTGAACCCAAAAATAATAATAATAATAATAATAATAATCATAATAACCTTTTTTTTTTATAGTTTTTATTAAAATAAATTTCAAATGTAAAAATAATGTAAAAATAATTATTTATTTATTAAGATTTGTTAAATTATTATTATTTTAATGCTAAAAAAACACAACATTTGAACCTATTTTTAAATTTTGTGAAGAAAATTTTAAAAAATATTGTCGTATATTAATTAATATGATAATAATTTGTAATAATAGTAGAGCATGAAGATAATTAAATGAAAATCTTAACTTATAATAATTGAATTAAAAGCATATTTAAGTTAGGATAATAAAATTTTAAAAAATTGCATAGAAATGTGAATATCATTTGATTTAATTTTTT